TATACAAGTGCACTGCAAACTAAAGGTGAAAGTATCAGTTTCTAATGTCTTCTGCTGGGGCTGGACATCTGTTTCATCAACTATAATGTGAGACAATCAGATTGCTAGATATACTTTACTTAAAATTTTGTTTATAAACTTTTTTTTGGTAAGATTTACAATAAAATTCTATTAAATTGCTAGAGGCATTCTTAGAGCATTCACACCATGTTCCTTTACCTGGCTTGTAGCCATATAGTCACACTGGCTTCCCTTTACAGACAGTAAAGGGAAATAGGTACCATCAGAGTCATTTCACTGAATGAGGAGGTGCAAGCTAATCTTACCATTTATAGTGGGAGACAGGGCTTACTTGTGCTGGTTTCATTGACTCAGTCATCTGCTTGGTGTAGTACAAAATAGACCATATCCTTAAAAAGATTTTGGTTTTGTTTTGGGTTTTTTGTTTGTTTGTTTTAATGGGTAAGAAGAGCAACAATTATTTACTGTCCACACACATGGTATTTTCCCTTGAAGTTGCTAATATGCCACTGCTGTCTGGTACCTGAAGACTTGATTATCAGTTTAGGAAGAACATACCTTAGACACTAATTTTTTTCCACTGCTTCAGTATCCCTTCGCAGTGTCTCACTCGTGTGTGAATGAAATTTCTGGCCGTGGCACTAGTACGTGTACTGCTCATACTGTAACGTTGGTCATTAGCTCACTTGATGGCTATGCAAAAGAGAACTTTCCTATTATCTTTTTTCCCCTCATTTGATGGGAAAACAATCTTGTCTGTCACACTTTTGTCAGGTAGCTTTCTTTAAAATACTAAACTCAAACTAGGTTCTTACATACTAGAACTTAAACTACTGACTTAGTAAGTTACAATATACTTATTCTGCAAGGGTGCATAACAATGAGATTTTCTTTTGAAGGCTGAAAGAATATGGCTCAACTGAACTTGGCTTTAGAAGAAAAATTTCAGGAAGAAGAGTTTTTGTTTCTGTTCCACAGAGCTGACTTCTGATTCCTTTTTTCCCTAGTACAAAGGCTCGTACTTCAGCATCAATTATCTTACGAGGAGCTAATGACTTCATGTGTGATGAAATGGAACGATCTATACATGACGCTCTCTGTGTAGTTAAAAGGGTGTTGGAATCCAAGTCTGTTGTCCCAGGTGGTGGTGCTGTAGAGGCAGCACTTTCAATATACCTTGAAAATTATGCAACCAGCATGGTAAGTCTTGCATGAAGAAGGAACAGTGTGTACGTGTTAAACTAGGACAACATTAATTTTTAAGCATTTATTTTCTACTAGAAGTCGCTTCCATGGTTCATGAAAACCTAATCGTCTTATATTCTGTAAAATGCTTCTGTAAAGTGGAGGGATACGAGTTACTCTCTCTCTGATAATCAGACTGTATGGTTCTTTGGCCTAAAAACAGGTTTTCCATGTGAAAACCCCTACCTACTATTGGACACTCTTGATCACGGCTGTGTATTTTCCTCTTTTGTTGCAGCAGTTGGTTTAAAAACTTTCCCTCTTTCTAGGGATCACGCGAACAACTTGCAATAGCTGAATTTGCAAGATCCCTCTTAATAATTCCAAATACATTGGCGGTAAATGCTGCTCAGGATGCGACAGATCTTGTTGCGAAGTTGAGAGCGTTCCACAACGAGGCTCAAGTTAACCCAGATCGCAAAAATCTGAAATGGCAAGTATCTGGCTGCAGGAAGGCTGTTAACAGTGGGGGGGTGACTTAGATGGAAAATTGTTCTGCCAGTCTACTGAACTGTGATCTGCATGTAAAAGGGTGGAGGTTTTTACTGAACTTTTCTCCCTCTGTCCTTCAGTCCTGTGTGTGTGTGTGTCAGTAGGACCTCATAGTAGCTAAACAGCATACTCACAACTACATTACTTTCTCTACCTCTCCATCTGACTGTTTCTTCTTTTCAGGATTGGTCTTGACTTGATCAATGGAAAACCTCGTGATAACAAGCAAGCCGGTGTCTTTGAACCAACCATGGTCAAAACTAAGAGCCTAAAGTTTGCAACAGAAGCTGCAATTACTATTCTTCGAATTGATGATCTTATTAAACTGCACCCTGAAACTAAAGAAGAGAGAGGGTGCTATGAGGATGCAGTTCACTCTGGAGCACTTGAAGAATAACTTAGGTTTTATTTATGTTTGTCTAACTTACACTTCCCACTCTTATAACTAAAATGTTAATAAAACAAGTGGTTGAACACTGCTGCTATTTTCTTGTGAAGAAATTAATTTGTGAAAGGGAGGTTGAGAATTTAAGCTCTAGCCTCTGTTAACAATGGGAGTGCCTGCAGTAGCCACTAATCTTGTCACAGCAATGGACTAAGCCTATGTAGGCTCCATGATTAGAAGTTTATTAGTAAACTGTTTCAAAGCTAGTTAGCACTAGCTCTCCCTTCACTCATTCACGTTCATCTCTCAACACACATGGCTATTCCCATTCCTCCTCCTATACAGAGAGCAGCAACACCCCGTTTTCCACCAGTTCGTTCCAGTGCATGTAGAAGAGTAACGAGGATGCGACAACCGGAGGCGCCAAGAGGGTGGCCAAGAGCAATAGCTCCTCCTTGGGTATTGATCTAAAAAAAATAAATAAATAAAGACATAAGGTCAAGGAAGAAATCATTTACCTAGCTTAGTTCTGAGTTTCCACACTGCTGCCTTCACTGGATCTAGTCCGTGACTGAGTAGGCCTCAATCTGCTGCCACCATTTCAAGGGGAACTTGAACATGCATGCAACAGCTGTTACAATCAGTAGTTCTTCTGAAAGGGGCCTGGCTTTACTCTGAAAGATTGAGGTGAATTCAGGGAGGGGAGAGTAATACCTGCACTTTTTGCCATCACTGGAAGAATGCCGTGGCAAATAGGCTTCCAGCAGCAAGTTCAGGTTGTGCAGTCAATTACAGGTACGCTCAAGCCCTTACCCAGCGTTCCATACAAACTCACTAGAAC